TGTACTAAAAGTGTTGCTGCTGCTTTGTGCAATAGCTCTGTGCCCCTCTCAATCTTCATAGCCCCTTAATATTTAGAAAGTAAGTGAACTAAAATCTTATTTTCAACAGCCATGTTAAAATTCTGATTTTTTTTTTTTTTGCACATTTCCTTGGAACTACTTTTTTCTTAAAAAGTAAAAAAGCCAAGCCTAACGTGTAAGTAACGTTAACCACCCCAAAGCCAATGTTTTCCAGATTCCCTTTTGCAAATAGCCCAGGCTTTAACCAGGCACACTTTATTTATCCAGGTGCCGTGTGTTTGTGGTTTGCACATATGTGTAATTTAGCTTTTCAGAACATAAAAAGCTTTTCAGAACAGTTTTTAACCCCTTGCCGCTGGGCAGTTGGGATTTCCTGGTTAGTAATGCATCAGGAAGTCCTGGCTGCTCCTACCACTGAGGGGAGGAATAAAGGTCAATCGTGGCATTTGTCCCCTTCCTTACTTTGGCTCTCCAGAGAGGCACCTGCCTGAATTGATAGATTGCTGCCCGGCGACAGCAGACTCATGAACCATGCCTACAGAGTTGGCCAGCCCTCAGAGAACTGGAGGAGACCAGGAAGGACGAGAGCATCCCTAACTCCCCAGCATTTATTCTCCTTTATTTTTAGGGTATACTTCTCTTAAAACTCACCGTCAAAGTACTTAGCTCTGCTTATTGATACTAACAGGCAAATGACTTTACAATGGCTCCATATTTTGCCATTTAAATGAAGGCTTTCATCCCTAAAGCTCTGATGAAAAACTTTGTTCTATGCTCCTAGAACATTACATACTCAGTGGTAAAAGCACTTTTCTTGACAAAACAGATTTCCCTGTGTTTCTAAAGCTTTTACTCCTTTAAGATCACTTCACAATATCTGTATAGTGTACTTTAAAGGGATCAAATATTAGAGCCAGTATTTCATAACGGCAGTCGACCCCCCATCTCCACACATGTTCAGAACATAAGCATGTGTTTGTACAGTTATTTCCATTTTTTCAAACATGAACAAGAACTTGATCTTTCTGTGTAGAAAACCAAGCAGACTCCTTTGATCAGTGACATGACGTGCCTGCCAAAGGACTCATATTCGTCACGTCAGCCCCTCTTTGAATTTGGCCTCAGCTGTGGCACGGATGTTCGCACTAATGCCATCTGTGAAGGTCAGGTGTACAGTGGCTAACTCTGACCCATTCATGAGAAATAGACTACTGGGAATTCAGAAAACTGTGTGGGGATGGAAGCGAATCATCAGACAATGAGAAAACTGTGCATAGGAAATGATGCTCCCTCCCAGAGGGGTGATATAAGAACATATAGGTACGGCCTCTCAGACCTCAGAGGAGCACCTCAGATGAAACCCATACAGAATTGTCAGTAATAGATTTTGCCCGAGGTTAGAACAATTTGTTTGTTTGTAGAGAGCTATGGGGTAGATGGCCAAATAAATAAGCTTACTCGGAAATGAGAGATAAGAAAGGGTAAGTAGTTTGGAGGGAAAGCTTTAAGGGAGTGACTTTCTGACCCCTTTGCCCTATAATCCTTGCTTAGGCTCATTTCCACACTGGCACATGGAGGGTTAGCAGTGCTGGAAGTCTATCCAGGGCATGGCTATCTAAACTACCCAGATTTAAAAGGATAACAGCACCAAAAAAAACCCCTTTCATTTCAGGTGAACATCAGCATTTTTTAATACAATTTTTTGTCTTATGTTCCTTAGTCTGTCTTTTTCTTAAGGACTCTGGGTCATCTGGAAACATCTGCAAGGTGGTGCTTTTCTGAGGGTGTTGTCTGCCACACTGAGTAGCTTCCTAGTAATGGTGTGACTTGCAGCTCACTATCCACCATCCACAAACTGCTGCTTATCCCTGTTGACCTACCAGTGGGACTGAAGTGACATTTGGGTTTTTTGTATCCACTTATCAGGCTATTCCCTTAGTATTAGCCAAACAGCACATTTTGTGATGAGCCGGTAACCACTGGTTCTTGGTCATCCTATCACAGAATCACCATGACTGTAACCACCAGATCCCAAACTCATAGTTTCATTCTAGCTATAAGGTAAAAGCAACTTTTTGAGTAGCCTAATGTAGCCCAAATCCTTCAGTAGCAACCTCCATTCTTAAATTAGCAGTTTTAAGGAATTGTGACTTTCCAAAGAACCCAGATTGGCTCTTGATTATAATAAAATGTTTCTTTAGTCTTAAACAGCACTTTAATTGCAAGTCTCTCTTTGGGAAGATGTATAACTTACAGTAACAGGTTATTCTTATATTTTTAAGTGCAGCTCAAAGGAATACAATATTAAAGTTATAAAAATGCAAATTTATTAAGTCCATCAAATACAGTACTTCCTTTTATGAGTTTCATATTAAACCTATAAAGGCATCAATGCAGGACCAGTGGATTAAACATTTACAGAGCAAGACAGCGTCTGAGACAAAAGGCTTTCTGGTAATTCTATGGTGTGGAGTCATGAAGACAGCGGCTTCCACTCCGTAGTTAGGAGGAAAATCCATATGACAAATAATCCACTTTAAAAGGCAGAAATTCTGAAGACATCAGATTGACTACCCAGCACAAGCAGCCTAGAGCAGGAAGCAGCCAACACAGAGGCACGGGATGTAGTCAGACCTGGTGCCATATTCCAGCAATGCCACTTCCCAGCCACTAACAGTGGTGTTACTCAACCTCGCTGAATCTGTTATTTCATCAGGAAAAAGGGGATGACACCACTCACTTCACAGGGTTGCTGTGATAACAACCATTATCTCTTGTCTAGGGTTAAGTGCCCAGCACAGTGTCTGGCTAATCAGGAGTGAATTAAAAAGTAAATTATTAGTGCAATAATCAGTTCCAGGGTAGTGTTCAGCAAAACCACAGACTCAGTCCGAATCACTGAGACCGAATTAGAAGAAAGCTCAGAATTTTCATTTTACAAAAGAAGAAATTAAGCCCAAATAGGGAAAGTGACCTGTAGTTGGTAGAGAAAAACGGAGCATACACAAAATTTCCAGACTAGAACTCTTTCCACTGTGTTCTTAGACTTTAGAGCTCCATCTTCTCCTAAGTTATTTCACAGCTTTACAGTGACAAATGTCAGTAATTTTTTAAAGAGTATCTTCTCAGCTCTAATTGGGCACAATGAAGTACAAAGGATGTGACAGAACTATGCAAGAATGGATTTCAGAGGTTGTCTGTCAGCCAACACTAGGCCCAACCAACAGATCCCATCAGAAACTGGGTTTATGAGCATACTGAAAAGACACGCCCCTGAGGGCAAACAGAGGCAAAAGTCAACATGATGGCAGTGAGACCTCATTTGTTTTTCTGAGGGGAGCACAGGAAATTGGAGCAGCAAGCTTTACCAAAGGATTTCAGTCTAGCAGCTGACAATGTTAAATTAAGTAAACCTAATTGCATGTTTACTGTTTGTCTGGTATAAATGTTGATTCATTGAAAAAAAGCATATTTGTGGACAAAAAGTGAAAATATGAGGTGGACAATAGCATTTCAAGTCGAAGTGTAGCTGCCTGAATCCTGAATGCTCTTTCATGGACGTGTTATTGGGCAGGCCCTTGTATACCACAGATATCTGCCATTACCTGCCTGAGAATCCGGACAGCATAGGTCTCAATTCTCCTGATGACCCAAAGCTTGGATGGGAGAAAAAATATTCTGGGTAAGAGTCAAGGATTCTAAAATTTTGAAAATCTGGAACTAAATCCAGTAAGATACAAATTCTAGTAAGGATAAATATAAGTAATGGGGCTTAAAAAATCAGCCTCCAGGGGCCAGCCCCATGGCTGAGTGGTTAAGTTCCATGCTCCGCTTTGGCAGCCCAGGGTTTCGCCAGTTCAGATCCTGGGTGCAGACATGGCACTGCTCATCAGGCCATGTTGAGGCGGTGTCCCACATGCCACAACTAGAAGGATCCACAACTAAAGTATACAGCTATGTACCGGGGGCATTGGGGGAGAAAAAGCAAAAAAAAAAAAAAAGAAAAGAAAAGAAAAGAAGATTGGCACCTGAGCTAACAACTGTTGCCAATCTTTAAAAAAAAAAAAAATCAGCCTCCAGGGAGATGTGGCCAAAATGGCACATGCAGAAAAGACAAGCTTTGTTAAATTCAAGTTCCGCATGAGGTGATGGTGAAAGATCCAGCAAAAATGCATTTATCAGTGACTAGAATAAGGAAATCATTGGTACTACTCTAGAACATTCAGGCCTAGATAACTCACTTTAAGTACATCAAATGGGCACCTATGGAGCTATGATGCTGAAGGGTCTAGAACTGACAGGAGCAAAAGTTGAAGATCTGGGGGAACATGAGCTGTCTTTAAATACCTGAAGGGCTGCCCTTTAATAAAGCAATCGGACAATTCTTCATGACTACAGAAGACAGAAGTTACATTAATGTATAGAAGAGGGAGACAGATTTCAGTCTAATAAGCAAAAACCTCTTAATATTTCAAGATTTCAGAAATTGGAAAAAGCTTCTTAGAAAGGCAATAAATTCCTATTTGGTCACAGCAAATGTTCAGGAGGACTGGTCATTTGTTTGTGGCTCGGGGGAGGGGGAGGTTAGATAGCAGTTATGTTTGGGAAGAAATAAGATGAGATCATTTCTAAGTTTCATTCAGTCTGAGCTTATATAAGCCAGGGAGAAAATTGCTTTCTTTAACTAAATAACGTAAGAGCTGAAATCAGCGTGGCAAGTGATTATTGAAAGGCATCATGTAAGACTGGGTTCAACAGGCTGATCCTCAGTTGTGTCAGAGCCCAGACAGTTATGACCTTCCCTCCTGTATGGGAGCCACAGGCAAAGACAAAATCAGTATCTGTGCACATGTCCCTCACTACTAGAGAGGCTCCTCATGGGTACAGACTCTACCCTATTCGTTCTCTGAGTATAGCATGATGTCAACAAAGGTTAAATGAACCAACATGAAATAAGCAACAATTTCTGTAACAATGAGTGGTTTTGGTATTGTTTTATTTTTTCCCAGCACATCTTAAAAATCACACATGGGCATTTGCTTATAGAACAGTATAGTCTAGCAAAAGCAATAAAAGAAGAATCCCAACATACACTGAAAGCACAGGATACAGACTATGCGTTGAGCCCTTGTGGAAAACAGTATGGCTCAGTCGGAATTGACAAAGCTGTGCTGGAATCTGAGGAATTTTCCTTCCCACTAGATAGCCACTTTTAGACTATAAATGTAAAGAGAAGAACTGTTTGTATGCATTAGTTACAGCAGTATAATGGCTTACATACAAGTGCTTACCCACATGTAGTTTCCAAAAGATTACTACAGTACTGGCAGGAATATGTACTGCCTTGGAGGAAGACTCAGGATAAGATATTATTCAAGTCAAGTTGTATCAGAGCCAAAGTATTTCACAGGCTTAGCAAAAAAGGACAAAAATTAAGAAATATAACCTACACATATTTCTCATAGGATTTACCATTGTCCAGGAACAGAAATATTCATTATTCTGAAGGCACCGTCACACAAAAAGACTGACATACACTTAAGGAATAGAACCCCCCACCCTACCCTCAGGCTCTGCTCAGGGAGCTGTGTGAGCAAAAGTCCAAAAGCATGTAGTGGTGTCTCAGGGACTGAGTATGCCACATCCACCAAGCCACATCTTAGGGCTACTAAATTGGGACAGTAGGAATGAAAATGTAGGAATGAAGTACATATAAATCCCATCAACTGAACAGAAGTATGTGAGAATACAGGTCCACCACACAATTAGATAAATACACTAGACTAGGGGATCCAAACCAACACCGTGGAAAGGATTTTCAGTGTTTTTATGTACAACTACTTAATTCCTGACATGTTCTTGAAGAGGAATAGCCTTGAACTGCTAAACAATCTGTCTTCAAAGACTTACCCTCTCCCGCTCATTTTAAATAATGGCTATTTTATGGGAAAAAAAAACCAACGACAACAAGGCACTGTGAGCTTTTGGAGATATTCTTTAAGTAGCTCAAAAAAATTATTATTTATAGAATCTGTATACCAGTACAAGCATTTCATGTGGTCCTTTTGGATATGTGAACAAGAGCAAGGGTTAAACGACCTCTTTCAGACGGTGCTCATGTTGTTCATGAAAAACACTGCCAACAATAAGATGCCTTGAAAACATGCATGTATGCTGCTTAGAAATCCACACTAAAATTTTTTTTCCCTTCCTTCTCTGTCTCGTCTCAGATTTGGAAGTTCAGAATCTCTGAAAAATGTTCTTAATGATACTTAATGTATTATTTTTCTTCCTTGTGGAAAAAAACAAAATAATCTCCTTTGGGAACCAAATCACAGAAGTAAAGTTATCAATTCTGTGATGGTTCTTTGGCTTGAGTGTTCTATTTTTCAGTGGCCCCTACTCATGTTTGTTAAGGAACTGTGGTTGCAAGAGCACAAGAGTGCTCATTCTTTGAGGGTCTTCCAAGGGTCAAACAGGAATGCTTCAGGTTCACAGGAGACTAAACACCTCCCAGGAATATAACATTGATTTAAAAAATAGAGAGTGATAAAACCTAGCTAAGAATATACTCAGCTATAAATCTAAAGGGATTTAGTTATATTTAGGTTGCACTTGACTATGCTTCATTAGTAAAATTATAAAAATTACTTTTGCTTTCAAATCAGTGGAAATATGAAGATGAAAAACTAAAGCTGAAAGAAAAACCCATATGCAAACAGAAGAACAAACAGCTTCACGCTTCCTTTGAAGAAAGAAAAAATCCTTAGACCCAGGTCCATTTTATCAATAACACAAGTTTCTATCGTCTGTTGACACTAGAAGTAGTTCTTACAGTTAAATTCATACTAAAGACTAACAGTGCTTGGCTTAGGGAGCAGAAAGCTGAGTAACTTACATCCTTCATATCAATAGTTTAAAAATAATCTTTTATACTTTCTCGATTTCAGCATCAATGTATATGTTGTTGCCTTTTCAGGAAACTGAAATTCCTAAAAATCAAATAAATTTACTGACATGTGACTCATTTAGGAACAAGAAGCCCTGAACAAAGCCAACCTTCCCTAACTCATAAAAGCCAAAGGTGATTCTGGATTCTTCGATCCTAAACTGGCATTTGTTATTTTCTGCTTTTCTCCAACCATGAGCTAAGCCCCAATTAAAATCAAAGTTGCTAAAGATTAAGTGGTAAACAAAAGCTATTACAGCTGCCCTTAACTCCTGTCTCACTGGCTCTTAAAATGGAGATATGTTTTCCACAACACTCCATTTGAGTTGCCTCAAGCACCAGCCCATGTGGTTTGTGTATCAAACCATAATAAATATGTCTGTGTTCCACATTTGTATAGAATAGATGCTCAACCAAACCCAGCCCCGTGAGAACAGCCGATGCTTCAGCTTGGGACTACAGGGCTTCTCCAATCAGCTACGGTTAAGAAACTGTAGCTATGAAAGAATATGACAAAGGAAAATCTCTGGAGCTAACATGCAGAAAGGTATTTTCAAAAATGTAAACTAGGACTTAGCGGTTACTAAGAGAATATTCTGAAAAAGAGGGTTCCTTGCAACCATCCATATCTGGTATAGCATACATACTGATGGAAGCTCATCCTTTATTGCGCTTTTGTTTTCTAAAATACATAACACAGCTATGCACACTAGGAGACTTTCAGCTTCAAAAATAATTTTTAAGTAACAGTACTGTGATATGTAAGCATTTAGGAAGAATACTACCAATTCTTCAGAAGAGGGAAGAATTTAAGCCTCTTTCTTTGTAGTAAAATGCTGGGCACACTGAACACATGGCTTCTACAATTCTTACTAAACTATAAAAGCTCAAGTGACTCAGCATTAGACTAAATTCACTTGCGCACTGTAAATTGCACCAACATTAAGGCAACAGTTTCTCTAAGGGTCAACAAAGCCTGTTCATATGGAGTCTTTAGGTACTCAATGCCATCCGCACAGGCAGCAAGTTCCCATTCCCACTAAAACCCCAGCCCAAATGTGACACCATCAAATAAAACAGAAGTATGACTAATTTAAGAAAGATCAGTTGGTGTTATGCAGTACTGAAAACCAAATAGGCTACGACCTTTTAAAATTTTAAATAAACTGATTCAAAATGAGTTAAGAAGCCTCACATAAACAATGTTCTCTGGACTTTAAGTTTTATGAAGCCATTTCCAGTTACTTCAGAAATATGAGGCCAGGTTTAAGTGCTTCTGTGCATATTCAAGAGCTCAGCTCTCTAGAGACACTAAGGAAACACTGAGGCCCCTCTCCGAAGTGGGTGTGCGAAGGTGGGGAAGAGCCTTCGGATTTACTAAGTCAGAGTGGAAACGGCACTGATGAGTGGTCATGTGTCAAAACCATCCCTGGAGAACTGATTCCAACTACAAAATGTAGCCATTACTATGAAACCAAGGTCGGGGGCCTGCGTACGTGGGGGGAGAAACAATGACATAAATCACTGATTTCCATAAGGTTCATGTAGAAGAGTGAACACAATAATTTCAGGTGTTACATTTATAGTTTCCTAATATCAAATACAGATTTCTGAGACTGCTGAAATCTGAACTCCCTGGGAAAGAATGTTGGAACAATCACATGCAAAGGAAGGGATCTGCTTATGAATCTGTAAGTTTTATTAAAAAGAATTTTACTCAGAAACACGTATACACTCCAGTGAGATATTAGTACTGTATTAAGCTTTACATTTTGATCACCAATTAGAGAAATTACCTTCATGAACAGATGCATTTTATAAAGCTGATATTTTTATAATTCTAGAGGCAACTGTAATTTCCTTATCAAGTATATCCAACTATTTCAAATACTAAGGGCTTTAAGCAAAGATCTGCTGGAAATTTTATAATTAAAAATAAATCACTAACGAAGAGAGGCAAGTTCTAATAAATAAATATTTAGTTTTTGTTGTTAAACTAATATTTAATTTTGATTTGCTTACAGATTTAAGTTTCTTAGTTTGAGGCCAATTTTACTAGTTATAAATTATTTACCATTTTGAAATCTTAAAAATACCATTTTGTCAATTTTAAATTTTCATTTTCCTGGTTAAGGCTACTTCAGATATAAAAGGTATCAAACTGCCCAAAAATACTTTGGAGCTGTTGCTACATAGACAGACAGTGTGTCCTTTTAAAGGATCGTCTGCATTTTGACTTAGATTATCTGATCAAATATTAAATTTTAAAAAATTATCAAAAGTTAGATATTGCAGTAAGAAAAGAACACATCTCAAACTGTGAATCATGAACCTTGACAGACAGTGATTCAAAGTAATCATTTCACTTATTTTAATATCCAGGTTTGAATGTATAAATGTTTGCTAAATGTGATTAATGTTCCTATTTTTTAAGAAATACGGTATTTCAAACTTTTGACATGGTATGTGTATTAATACATTTAAAAATTTATGTTAAACCAGTAATTCAAAAAAGGCATTAAACCATTAGTAAAAACTAAATTGAAATTTTACTTTTATATGAAAATTTATCGTGTTGTTTGGGTTAATTTAAAAAAAAAGATTTTTGTCATTGAAACTGTTGAGGCTTTCAAATTCAATAGCTGAATGATGACTGTGTTTCTTTAGCCAAACAATTCTTTGAACTGGACACATTTAAGTGTAAGGAGTCTTCCTTCTTCTGCTCCTGCTGCAGCTTCTTCTGTTTCTCAGCAATCAGAATGCGAAATCAGAAACATTAGGACTCTCAAGTTGATTAAAGGCATTCATTTCATGGTAAACCTGTTCTTCACACACAATGAATGGTAAGTCAGCTTTTCTTCTAAAAACATATTATGAATGAACAAGGATATAACAACAGGTTATCTCAGTGATACAAATACAACTCATAACTCAGTAGAAACAGAAACAGGGAGAACAAAAATGTGTCCTCTAACAGAATAATTTATATACTGATGATTTAAGGTTTTATAACGGTATACTAATTTCAAAGAAAAATGCAGGCCAAGCACCTTACAGAACTGAAAGCATCCAAATAACAGGTTGCCTATATTCTTTCATGAGTATCCTCCCTCGATGGCCTACTCACACTAGAATGTACTCTTAAAAAAACATACATGTGTATCCCTCCTCAGTGGAATCCTTCCCTTGATGTCTGCTCCCCAGAAACCTTCCTTTAAAAAGAGACTAGATAAGCAGTAGATGACACCAAATCTGCCTTTGTTCCCAAGAGGAAGCATCAAAACAAAACAGCTGGCAGCATCTTCCTCTGAAATAACAACTGGCAGCCTTGTGCTGCCTGACTAAAATTTGAAATGACAACCAGTTGGCAGTAAACTGATGCACCTACAATGAAAGAAATTTAGGAATACCATCTGTCAATCCAAAGATGTAGAAACAAAACAAACTACAGAGTAAAACAAACATTTTAAACCAACAAATGTAGCCGAAATATAGTCCATGATATATTTGATTACTGGTATAACCATAGTTGAAGACTTTAAAAAAAAAAGTGACCTTTTTCATAACAACAGTAATGGATTTATAAAAGGTTTCTGCTTCCAAAGATGTTATTGGGGTCCACATATTCCTTGACAGACTTCAGCATCCCAAAGCCAACATCAGAGATACTTTCCTTTAGCCATTGCTTCCGTAACTTGCCCACTGGAAAAACAAAATAAAAAATGCTTCAATATACACTATGATGCTGGGAACCAATCAATCTTGTGACCATGAATGAACAAACACTGTGTGATAAATGCTTTTATTCAAAAATGAGAAATGTTTTGCTTTATTTGATTTATTGAGCCCACCAGACTACAAAGCTCATTAAGCCCAGTGTCTTCCCAGGGGAAGCCTGCGCTCCACAGTGTCTCCTTTCTCTGTAAACTATGAAATGGAGATGAAGGAAGGTTGCACTGAGATTAGCCTATTTTACAAATAACAAAATGAGAAAAACATGCATTTCAAAAGAACCCACCTCCTGTCTTAACTACCAAAACACACCAAAGTTTCAGAGAAAATGAAGTTAACCAAAGAAAAATATCATACCCAGATGAATTTGTTGGGTATATTAAAAAACGACAGGCTATACAGCCGTAAAATATTTTAAGGAGAACAAAGCTTCAAAAAATTAAGAAAATCTGAACCTTGGGCTTAAGAAAAAAATCTGGTTATGAAGCTTTCCATCTGCATTTTCTTTTCAGATTACTTTTAAATAAATTTGCATGTTCCCCAAAAATGGTTACTTTCTTCTCATTGTTTTCACAGAATTAGAGATTTTTCTAGGCACTAAATAAATCAAATACCTAATCCATTTTAAACTTGATCTTCTGCCTTTATACACTGTATAATGTTCCCCCTTCTTTGTTTCTAGGTCTTGCTAATTCTTTCTAAGAATAATGAAGTAAAATAATGGTTAGCAGCATAAATTGTATTTTGAAGGCACTCAATGAAAAACATAACCTTTTCTAAGAAGAACTTTTGTAAGAAAGGACATGTACTTAATCTGTACAAGAATCATGGAATGTCAACTTGCTTTTGCATTAAAAGCAAAGCAATGTGCTGACTTATTTGTGGCAAGATGGATAAATCTTTTAATTCAGAGGTAGCATTATTTGCGGTTAGTACTTTTCAAATGTATTATTGTAATAATTGAATTCAAATGGTCATTTTCCACAAATGTTCATTAATGATCCAAAGTCATCAACAGTGATTTAATTGGCCAACCAAAATGTGAAGGCTTCTTTCATTAAAGCATTCAGCCTGTCATTCTAAAATGCACTGCCATCTATCAGGCTGCATTGATAACACCGTAGCATCTGCCTTTCAGAGACCTTAAATACCATTTCAAGCTCATCTCAAATCATCTTTTGTGTCCAGTTCTCCAGGAAACCATCAAATTGTCATTAAAATAATAAATACCATGATATCCTCAGAAAGAAAAATATTCCTGCTTGGTTTCCAGGAATAAAAAAGCATTGTTGGTGTTAAGATGGGGAAAAATAAGGTACAGCAAGGAAAAAAAAATCCTAAATTCAAAAAGAAAAATTTAGTTTAAAAGACCTCTAAAACTAGACACCAAACAGTACAAATTCCTATTCATGCAATCTCCACCACCTAAAAGATGTTCTACCAGGTCCTCCTCCTATCTCCCTGAGACAACACATCACAATGCTTCAGCCTCAGTTTTCTCATCTGCAAAGGGATTAGCATCCATAAACTCTTTTCACTTCAAATATCCTATGATTTTAAGCACTTAAAAAAAGTTACAGGGGCCGGCCCCATGGCCGAGTGGTTAAGTTCACGCATTCTGCTTTGGCAGCCCAGGGTTTCACTGGTTCGGATCCTGGGCGCAGACATGGCACCACTTGCCAAGCCATGCTTAGGCAGCATCCCACATGCCACAACTAGAAGGACCCACAACTAAAAATATAAACGACTATGTACCAGGGGGCTTTGGGGAGAAAAACAAAAAATAAAATCTTTAAAAAAAAAAAGTTATAAATTAGTTATTTCCAGATTTGCTCCAAAGGATTAAAAAACCCAAAAAACGCAACTACTCTTGAGTAGTAGAAGTGGCATGATTATAAGCTACCCATACTGAGGCAGCTCAAAAGAGAAGGGTGAAGAACAGTCAATGCCAGTCTCCTATGTTATCTGTAATATAGTTTCACTGAATGTGTCCTGTGGTTATGGATGTAATTGTCCTGAAAAGACTGCAAACAACTGCTCCAACAAGATGGAGCACATTAGAACCTCAGCAGGATGCCCAACAGCTAGCTTGTCTGCCTGGTTTTACACCTCTGGTAATAATGCAATTCCACAAGGAACTGAACCATCGTCTGAGAAGCCACCCAACAGCCACTGCATATTTAATGAAGTCGCTCACCAAGCGCTGGAAAACAGAAGGTGCTTGGAGTGCATCATTAGTTCTGTCAGAGGGATAATTTACACATCTATCTTGTCAAATTTTCTATGGTTTATACTTTTACAATAATCAATCTAACATACATTTGATTAGTGAACTAGAAAGTAAAAAAAAAAAAAGGCAATATAGGCAGCATAGCTGTGGCCCCTCATAAACATATTTGATGAAAGAATTTAACCCCTTGATGGCAGAGGTCTGTGGGCTGCTTCTGTCAGTGATAACAGAATTTGAACTGAGGTCAGAAATCATGGTTTATGCAACTAAAAAGACTAGGAATTTTTTTGGTTTTCTCAATTTAAATCAATTACATTGTAGCATAAGTGCACAAAGAGAAAACAGCTTAAGTAAAAAAGCTCAAGGAGCCTTTATATTAAGAAAAGTATTGGAAATAGTTTTCATAAAATTCTAGAGATCCTTCTCTGGCTGTCTTGGATGAATCAATAAATCTAAAAAACAACAATGAAACACCAAAGGCCCTAATCCCAAAGAGGGATCACTCTTCAAAATAGAAGATTTTTATTCTAGAGCTCAACAACAGTAATAATAATATCATTTGTACAATCTTTATTTGCGTTGGTAGGCATTCAGAAATCAGCTAACTACACTGATCTGGACACATGTAAAACACATGGACGCACAACTATATAGTAGTTGCTAAAACATTCGTGGAGCTCCTTTTCAGAAATGAAGAAATAGTACTCTGTCCTTTATGTAGCATGCCATATTGGAGGAGGGGAAAATGGATGAATAAAAACAGCAAATAACAGGTGGTCTAAGACTATTTCAACATTCCTTATATGTACAGTTATCCATGAAAAGGCACGTGTACATTCATACCACATGAAACATACTGCTCTTTCCAGACCTGGGTTATCTGATGTGGGGCATTCATGACTACTAACTCAACAACATCCCTTTGACTTCTGATTCTCTAGAATCATAAACTTAGCCTGCGAGTCAACACTAGAGCTACAAAAAGCCAAGTCCATCATCTTCAAAAACAAGATAGGGACGCTGTATTCCACTGCTCACAATTATTCTATATACATAATGCCCAAAGTACTTAAGCCAGGTATTTTAGAGGCTTGGATGTATTTTTAAAGATACTAAAAACATAGGCTAGTCAAGTACTAAACATTATAGAAAACTAATGGGGGAAATTCTTTTTCTGCTTAAATTAAAAGTGGAATTCACAATTTAATTTCTAATAATGTATATACAGACTATCCTGGATAAAACAAGTATTTTGTGTTCTTCCACAATATACAGCACATCTTTTAAAATTTACTTTTGGAACAGAGAAAATGGGAGATTTTGGGATAAGTCTCTGAAATCACAGGCTCAACAGTTTCCTTTGGACGCTAATAGCTCAAGAAAGAATGCATTTTGTGGTATGATCAACAGCATAAAAGAATGAATAGATACGTATGCAAGGGGGAGGGGTAATGGAAGTGTTGTGCGTTGAAATATGGACATGGTGGCTAGCCTGGCCACCAAAAATTATCTGGAACTACTCTTTGTGGTGTAAAGGACTGAAGACCTAGCAGAGACTAGCAAACAGTCCCCATCGTAAAAGGGATAAATCTAGGGTGTACTAGTCAGAGTTCGTTTTAGCTAAATAAATTAAAAACTTGTAGAATTATGAATTTGATTATAAGTTTATAATAAATCTTTTAAATCTTATTTAAAAACAAATTATGAAATGGACTGTACATTAAAAAGATTACTAATGCTACAGCTCAGAAGTAGAATTTAGACAAAGCTAAAAACACCTAACCATTATCATAACAACTATATTTTGAAAGTTCTAGTTTGAGCATCCTGGATACCTTTTTAGCACTATTCCATAGGTCAGATTTAAAAAAGAAAATCTAGACTTAGCTGCTTGTATGAGTGATCTGAGCATCGACTTTGTATTTCAAGATTTAATTAATCCAGCTATACTACTGGTAGGTTATATAAGGAATTGGTGCGAGAGGGACAGCCAAGCTCTTGCCAGATGAGGTTCTGGCCCCATGAAACTTGTTAGGTACTGATGAGGACAGAGAAGCACAATGGACAATTTCTACTCTGTGAGGTACCTGGGTGATCTGACTATGATGATGTTTTTCTGAGAGGGGGTTATTTCAACCTGAAAAGATTTAGCTGTCCATTTGTTCGTGATATAAAGCACACTTTTGTGTGCATGTTTGGTTTTGGCAGCGATACATGCTGAATGTTAGTTAACAGATCTCCAACTGAGGGATGCTAACATCCAGACTTTATAGGCATATGAGATAGGACTATGACTTTCCAAGAGTCTAATTTAATGCTTAGTGAATATGTAAAGTCATGTTTGATTTCTTTATGCAGTGAACAGGTCACATAACATGAGATAGAAAAGGGCAGAAAAGAATGGAAAACATCATATGCTCCTTGAATACTAGGGCCATGTTTTATTCATTTTTGTAGTCCTGCTGCATAATGTAGTTGTATATGCCACACAGTAAGAATTCAATGAACGTTAGTTAAAAGAAAAAATAGGGGCTGGCTCCGTGGCCGAGTGGTTAAGTTTGCACGCTCCGCTGCGGCGGCCCAGGGTTCGGATCCTGGGTGCGGACATGGCACTGCTCGTCAGGCCACGTTGAGGCGGCGTCCCACATCCCACAACTAGAAGGACCTGCAACTAAGATAGACAACTGTGTACAGGGGGGTTTGGGGTGATAAAGCAGAAAAAGCAAAAAGAAAAAAGAAA